ACTTTTTACTACTTCATGATGTTAGAACTATTGTACTGTGAGTACTCAGCATCTGCAGGATCAGAATCACTAGCTTTTTCAGGTTTAGAGTTTGTTTTCCACATCATTTAATTGTACTCCATGTGCTGAGGAGTCAACCCAGCCTCTATCCTCATTGAAGCATTGCTTCCCTCTTCAGTAACACACTGTTTAAAACTGTGTTGGACTGCGGAAGAGGAAAAGTGCCGCATACGAGTTCTCAGAATTACCTCTCTCCACTCCCACCTTTGCCTAGCAGATACCTCCTATTCACCCTTCGGTGCTCATAACAAGCTCAACCCTAGGGTCCCACAGGTTTTGGTGTTTTAGTTCAGGGTTGGGAGAGGATCTAACTCATGTGAGTGCAGGTTGTAAAGAAAGTAGATTGCAAAATAGAAGAAGAAAAGAAAGCAAAACAATCTTTGTATTCTGGGCAACTTGGTAATGAACTGCTCAGGAAATCTCTGATGTTAAGTGAACACTTGAATTAAGGACAGGATTGCAAATCTCAACTATCTGATGATTTTGTCAGTCAGCAATGGGGGAGACAGCAGTCACCTTTAGTATTGTTTGCCAAGCTGTTTTGGGGGTCCCAAGAGTTTCTATCCAGACTAAAAGCTTCCAGTGCTAGGGATATAACTCAGGACGACACTGTAGTGCCTTCTTGGGCAATGTGGAGTGCAAGTTTTCTCAGAAACTTATTTATCTGTAAGATAGATCAAATGCCTAGTGTGTTGACCGAAAAATGCTACATATACTTTAGAAAACACCATGCATTTTTTTCACCATTGAGTACAAATTTTATTTAGCAAAAAGACATGATTCTTTCAAAATCAAAATCAGTGACACGTTTTTAGGCTTCCCACTTTGCTGATTTGTTTGTGACTGTGCTGTCATTTCCCTTAATTTCAAGGTGACTCGGGAGAGTGGGAGTCAGGCATGGTGGGGCTCTAGGGAAACCTCCAGTGACAACCCTACATTTATTTTCCAATCTAAGTCTCTAGAGAGTGTCGGCTCTACTGGAGGGGACTCATGAGGGATGGGCAGGACCAGATGTCCCTGGAAGCCTTGGTCATCATTCGTGGTTCACTGTAGGATTTACTGGGTCTCCTCTGTGCTAGAACTGGCTCACCCACCAGTTCAGCGATACCTGATTCCATGGATCCTGCAGGGTGCCCACTCCAGTTCCAACACTGATGTGTTGGGTGTTTTGACATGGTCAGGATGAAAAGCACCATGCATTTCTCATTCACTATGAACAGTATGAACTACTGTTGCCAGGCTAAAGAGTCAACAGTAGTCAAAAGAGAGGTAAAAGGTGAATGAAGAAAAACCTTTTAAGGCAGTTGTAATGGAGTGGCCTTGCTGTGTTGTCAGTTAGCCCAGGGAACAGGAAGTCTCCAGCCTTGGGTATTGGAGCCTTTCCAACAGGAAGAGGATTCTTGCCTAGGAACAGAAGAGCTACACTTAACCCACATCAGGCTCCTCTCCTCCAGAATTGTATTTGTAAACATGATTACTCTTCTATTTCTTACTATAATGGTTAACCATGTATTACTAAAATGGCTGAAACAGCAGTTTCTCCCAATTCATACACTCAGATAAAAGCTCACACAGTTGCCTGTTTAGTCAAATACACATGACATAGATTGCATATGTTACCGTTTGGTTATCATTAGTGAAGGTGAAAGAGATTTCTACGCATATATATATATATATAGAGAGAGAGAGAGAATTGTATATATATATATATATATATATATATATTAATGTCTTTATTGGATTCACACTCCCAGGGATTTTAAGTTAATTGGTCTTTTTTTAAATTTAAAAAATGTTAAATTTAATTTCATTGTCGAGGTGGTGGACAGAAGAGTTACAGTTACATATATAAGATAATGAGTACATTTCTTGTTGAACACTGTTACCCTCTTCCCCCTTTTTCTCCCATTTTCATTCCCCGCCCCAGTTGTAAAGTTCATTTCTAGAATAGTGTCTTGTGGGCTGGGAAGGTGGCTCCATGGTAGAGCACTTGCCTTGCATGCATGAGGCCCTGGGTTCGATTCCTCAGCACCACATAAGAAAAAAGCCGGAAGTGGCACTGTGGCTCAAGTGGTAGAGTGCTAGCCTTGAGCTGAAGAGCTGAGGGACAGTGCCCAGGCCCAGAGTTCAGGCCCCACGACCGGACCCCCCCCCCCAAAAAAAAGAAATAGAATAGTGTCTTGTGAGTATTGCTGTTGCATTGATTGGTTCACCCTTTGTCCTTTGTCTCATCATTTAACGCTCTTTTATTGATGCACATTTCCTTAAATGTTGAGAGAGGTCATGTCACAGAATAATAGTAACAGCCACTCACATTTGTACAGTTGCTATGAACCAGGAACCATTCTGGACATTATTATTTATTTTTTTGTCGGTTGTGGGCCTTGAACTGGGCCTGAGCGCTGTCCCTCAGCTCTTCAGCTCAAGGCTAGTGCTCTACCACCTGAGCTACAGCGCCACTTCCGGTTTTCTGGTGGTTTATTGGAGATAAGAGTTTCATGGACTTTCCTGCCTGGGCTGGATTTGAACTGCGATCCTCAGATCTCAGCCTCCTGAGTAGCTAGGATTACAGGCGTGAGCCACTGGCACCCGGCTTCTGGACATTATTTTAACCCCCTTGACCACCCTTCTGATACAGGCCAGGTGGGGGAAAGTTAGGATGTCCTGAGTTGACGCCCACTCCAGATAATGATGTTTCTTTTGTTGTTGTTTGTTGTTGTTGATCATGGAGCTTGAACTCTGGGCCTGGGTGCTGGCTGTGAGCTCTTCAACTCAAGGTGAGTGCTCTACTACTTGAGCCACAGCACTACTTCCGGTTTTCTGGTGGTTGACTGGAGATAAGGGTCTCATAGACTTTCTCAGCCTCCTGAGTAGCTGAGTACAGGCGTGAGCCACTGGCCCCAGGCTCATAGTCTTTTATGTGTAATAAAATCTATGGAGGAAAGGGAACTGTGAAGAGGGTCATTTTTTTGTTTTCATTCCTACTAACTGAAAGACTGTTGGTGGAAGGAGTATATGAACCTTCCTTAGCATTAGACACCTGGCTCAAATCTTGTCAAATGCCTACCTCTTAACTTTGGCTTGCCTTTGCCTAATTCCACCTCTATGAGAGCCATCACACTCCTGCCTCTACTCAATTTCCATCCAATAACTAAATCCTTCTTGGGTTTCTACTGCTCCAATCCTGAGACTCTTAATGATAAGAGAGCAAATAATTTTAAAAATGTCCACAGCATTTCTTTGGCAATTCAAGTCTTCTACTCTTGTTTCACATCATAACTTTTAATTTGTGTAAGATAAATATGTTGACCTCCAAATTCTGTAGTTTTCAGTTTATAACTTCCAATTCCTAGATGTGTTTTCCCTATTTCTTCTATTGCATCTTCTTCTTCATTCCAAAAGTGGGCAGTAAGCCAAGATTTTAAAAAAATTATTGTAAAGTTGATGCCCAGAGGAGTTACCATCTAAGTCATGTAACGAGAATATTTCTTTTTGGACAATGTCGCCCCTTCCCTTGTTCTCTCCGTGTCCCCATCCCATCCCCACCCACAAGTTGTATAGTTCATCTTCAACATAGTGTCTACTAAGTACCACTGCTGCATTTGTTCATCTTTATTCCCTCCATTTGTGTTCCCCTACCTCTCCAAAAGACATAAAACAACAACTACAACAAACCATCTCCACCAACTAGGGAAGAAAAGAAAAACCTTGTTTCCATGTAGTAAGCCAAGATTTTATATGTCTTGGAAAGCTATTGCACATTTGATGTCCCCAGAAGACGACAGGACTTGCAGATTTTTGCCTCATTCCTCATCATCTGAGAACCATCCACAGAGTGTAGTTTCCTATTGTCCTCTCATCACTGTTTTGCATGCCAAGCATTGAATATTCTAAGAAACTGATAATAAGATGAAAGAAGCATACAATCTTCTTGAGGAGATCCAATTACCACCAATGAAATCATCACCCACAAATGAAAATGGAAGCCACTGAATTTCATTCATGGAGATGGAAAACTGTTCAACACAAGGGTAGATTTCTTGGTGTTTCTCAGTGGGTTGCCAATAAATATTTATGGAATGAGTAGTAGACAGAAGACGGGCATCTACATTGTACAAAGGATCTCACAAACAAATTAAGACTTTTGGGGGGGGTTACTTGTATGGCTTCGACTCTGGGAGGGCCTGGATACTATCCCTGAGCTCTTTTGCTCAAGGCTAGTGCTCTACCATGTTGAACTACAATACTACTTCCATTTTCTAGTGGTTAATTGGAGGTAAGTCTCAGATGTTTTTCTGCCCAGGCTGGCTTTTTGAACCTCTCCTCAGATCTCAGCCTACTGAGTAGCTAGGATTGTAGGCATGAGTCACCGCACCTGGTGACAAATCATTTCTTACAGGTGGAAAAGGAAGAGACCCAACCAAGGAAGAATTCAAGCAAATTTGAAATTTATTAGCATCTTGGCAACAAGAGCAAAACAAGAAACTCAAGCGTTGTATCTGCTTCCATCTGACACAATGCAAAGCATTGATTCCTTTAAAGAATTAATATGCTTTAAGTAGATCCAACAAGCTTCATCATGTGGCTACACTTAATTCCTTGGTTTCTCCTTAATTCAGTAGTTACCTTGTCTTGGACCCTTGTTTGCTTGCAGTTCCCCTGCCACTTGAACACACTGCCCCTTTTTAATGAGGCTTCTTTCCTAGGCTTTGCTCAAATACTTCCTTGGTCCACAAAACCGTTGTAGCCACGTATTTATTCATTCCTCTCTGAAGCTACTTAACACTACAGTGTTTGGTTGTGACTTAACCTGCCTTAGAGTAAACACATGGCTTACTAGGTTAGTTTCTTCTATCTTGAATAAGTATCCGCAAATATCTAAGTCTCCTATCTTTCTGTGCATTATGGTATCATGCAACGCACACATGAATTCAGTTGGATACTTGTTGAACAAGTGACTTTATTGCATGTTTTCTTATTCAAGCACCCCTCAGCAACAGAATAAATGACAGACGAGTTAGTTCAGTAGGCAATGGAGTTTGCAAATTTGTCATCAGGAGCCTTTTCTTGTGCTGACCTTTGACAACACCAAAGGTTTAACAATAAAATGGAAGACATTTTAGTAGGGTTAAACAGATGTAAACCATCTTTCAAAAGAAAAGCTCTAATATTTGAAAAAAAAAGTAGTATTGAATATCCTTCTCAGATACCCCTTAGTGAGGGTCCTCTTGCAGGGTGTAGGCCCATGGTCAGTGAAGGCTGAGGATCTCTGCTGTGGAGAAGGAGCCTCAGGATTTACCATCAGCTACACAGGGAACAAGGCTAGCATTGCTTTGAAGGTTGACTAACTGGAGGCCATTTCTTTCAGGGAAAAAGGAATTCTTTTTTGCCTGATTTGCACTGTTGAAGCTGAGCTGAAAGACCGACCCCAAGGCTCAGCACACGTTGCTGTGTGGCTGGCCTCACACAAACACAGTGAAACAACTTTAAGGTTTTGTTTCCCTAAGCTACTTCAGGGTTGTAATCTTAGATCTTGTACAAACTAGCTTGGTGGTCCTGGCAAATCATTTGTCTTAGACACCTTTTTAATTTCAGTTTATTTGCTTCATTAACATTGCACAGATGTATTATTGTCACAATAATTTCTTTGAGGGTGACAATGTAGACACTGGATTTTTTTTTTTTTGGCCATTGATTATAATGCTCTAGAAATTTCCCCTTGAAAGTGTCAAATGAATGAGTATAGTGAGACTCACCTGCTAGAAACACAGTGTTAATAAAAAAAAAACAAAAAAAAAAAACCACAAACAGAAAGTGAAACTTTGATGGGAATCTAGGCCAGAAGAAAAATGCTCTCCCTTTTCTTAGGCCTCTGACTGCTTAAGAAGACCATCTACCATTCATCAGCACCCGAAAGCCACAGCCGCATTCTATTTGTTAATGAGAAAATGTCCTGTGTGACAAGAGAAGCTTTTTGCCTTTCTCCCTCCCAAACATGTCACAAGGCAGCAAGGAAGGGCAGCAGGGCCCCGAGAATCACCTTTCTATTTAAGGGTAACACAAAGCATCATTTGGTTTCTGTACTTTCACAGGTGGAAAATATGTTATGCATTTATGCTACAAGTTTTCTCCACCTCTGGTGTGTGTTTAGTCAAATAATTTGGCACTTAAAGATAGGCCAGCAATCCTCAGAGGCGTGTGGGCTGGGGCGGGGGGGTCGTGGCCCAGCATGGGTTTTTCATGCAAGTCCCTGCTTGGAAACAGTGGCCAGCACTGGCCACACCCGCTTTCTGGCACTGTTAGATTGATGGATCCTGTGTGGGCTGGGGGAGCTAAGCCAGCAGCAGACAAGAAAGGAAGGGCAGAGTGGTCATAAGGCCAGGAAATTTGGTCTCTGACTAGCACAAACAGAGTGAGCTTTTCTTATTTGCAGACTGTCTTTGAAGGCAATTCTAAAAGAAGTTTCAAAGTAATATTTGAATCAGGAAGTATAGAGCTTCCCAAAGATATCCTTTTAAAGGGTAGGAATTCATTAATTCTATGAGTTATGACAGATGTTTGTAAAAGCATTAAAATTTCTCTTAGGACTATATAAGAAGCATTATTTAAATGATGATAGCCTATGGATATAACAATGTGTGAAGGTAGAGATTCTTAAAATTATAGTATAAGGACTAAATTTAGCACTATATTCTTCTGTGACAGCCATTGTTAGAAATTTGGAGGCCAGGTGGTGTGATGGCTTACACTTGTAACCCCAGCTACTTAGAAGGCAGAGATAGGAGGATCGTGTTCAAATCCAGTCTGGGCAAAAAAATTAGTGAGATTATCTGAAAAATAATAGTAGTAAAGGCTAAAGGCGGGACTCAAGTAGCAATGCTTGCCTCAGCACTGAGTTCAAGCCCCGGTACCACCAAGTAACTTTCACGCTGCTGGACACTTGGAAGTTAATCACAAGTTTAGGGAGAGAGGAAATGAACAGTGCATGGGATTCCAAAGACGGATGACCCACCTCAATTTTGTGTCAAAGCAGAACTGGGTGTTTTCTTGTAGTTTAACATCTCCTTTCAGCCCAGTACCAACTTTTTTGCCATTGGATAATTCCCCACAACTTACTGTCCCCCTAGAAACTGCCCAGCTCAGTGGCTGGCCAACTGCATTCCATAAACATCCATTCCTCTATCAGTGTTTTTCTTTTCAAATTAAAGGCCACAACCCATTTGCAGAATACAAAAATCAATTTAGTAGGTGGCAATGAACAACAGAATGTCTTCAAACAATAAAATCATCAGAGTGTGTGGCTCATGAGAGAAGCTCATACTGCATGGTGCTGATGCTGAGTTTGTGTGCATTTCGTATCATGGGTCATGCCCAAATGGCTAAGTCTCTGCTCTTACAATAATCTGAAAAAAAATCTCAGATTGTTATATCTAAAAAGTCCCCAGGAATGCAGCCTTTATGTAAACGTGTACCTACAAAGTTTAAGGCCTTCTGGTCAAAGTGTTCCTGGATAATATGAAGCAAGGAGAAGATAAATTTACCTTGACACCATAGGGCATAACATTCAATTTTAAAATCAGTTTTTGTGTTATAATTACTAATTGAGCTTATAAGCACTTTTTGCTTACAGGTGTATCATTTATAGTTAAACACTTCTAGCAATTTCTTTTTTTTTTGTCGGTCGTGGGGCTTGAACTCTGGGCCTGGGCGCTGTCCCTCAGCTCTTCAGCTCAAGGCGAGAGCTCTACCACTTGAGCTACAGCACCACTTCCGGTTTTCTGGTGGTTTATTGGAGATAGGAGTCTCACGGTCTCTCCTGTCCGGGCTGGCTTTGAACCGCGATCCTCAGATCTCAGCCTCCTGAGTAGCTAGGATTACAGGCGTGAGCCACCAGCGCCCGGCTTCTTCTAGCAATTTCTAACAAAAGCCGGCTATTGGTTTCTGCTATGAGGTAATAAAGTACAATTTCAAAAACATTTCAAGTTATAAAGGTTTTTAAAGGACTGTAACTTGCCTAACCATGAAGGGAACATACCAATCCTAAGGTACAATGAATGCCAAAAGACAAGAGGACTACATACAGGCTTCCACACTGGTTCAATAAAAATGTGAAATCCCAGAATATAATGTGAGCTTCAAATGTAGGCTTCCTCTTTCCCTAAGTCCTCCCGAGTCCCTCACACTACTGCTAAGGTGCCTGAAGTGTGGCCCATTTGGGGTAAGCAGAGTAGAATACTATACAGTGGCAAAAAAAAAAAAAAAGGATCGAACACTGCAAGTGCCAGTCAGTCCCCTGAGGACCCTTGACTCCTGGGGAAAGATGTTCACTCTGGGATGCAGGAGCCCTTTTGTGGTCTCAGAAGAGGACAATGTAAGCAAACAAAAACAAAAACAAAAAAACCAGGTGGTTTCTTCCTATTTCCATGGACTTGGGGTATACAGGGCAAGGCTGCCTGTAACCTTAAATTCTTTCTTTAAAATTAAAGTGTTCAGCTGGGCACCAATGGCTCACACCTGTAATCTTAGCTACTCAGGAGGCTGAGATCTGAGTATTGTGCTTCAAAGCCAGCCAGGGTAGGAAAGTCAGTGAAAGTCTTATCTCTAATTATCTTCCACCAAAAAGCTTGAAGTGGAGCTGTGGCTCAGATGGTAGACTGCTAGCCTTGAGCACAGTGCTCAGGTCCTGAGTTCAAGTCCCAGGACTGGCTCACACACAAAAAGTTAAAGTCTTTTTGTTGTCTCTAACAGTCATAAGGTTGGACTAGACCTTGTTTGCTGTCAAAATGTCACGTGTTGGATTAGCACCACAAGTCCTTTATTGGGTCTGAGTCTTGGCTGGCCTTTGTTTACAGTGTGAGAAAGGTAAGCATGGTGCGGACGTTAGGGAGGGAGGGCGGCTGTGGAAGGCAAGGAATGCATGCAAAGAGCGAACAGCAGGGGAAGCATGCCAGTAACTGCAGTGAGGTAGAAAGCTAGTTCTGGGCTCCCCAAGACCAGCTAAGAAGAAAAGACTGAGAGACAGAGGCCCCTGGGAGGCAGATACTGAACCAACCCCTGGAAACCAGCAAGTACCCCAAGATTTGGCCTCACCTTGTCCCCTTCCCCCATCCTTTTCAATTCTAACAACGTTGGATATATTTGGAAATTTCCTCTTCCTTCCTTCCTTCCTGGAAGGCTAAACAGTGATGGCAAACAATACAACATGGCAGATTATGAGAAAAGTACTCATCACACCTGGGTGATCATCGCACCCCACAAGACAAAGAGCAGCTCAAAAATCAAAGGAGAGAAGGTGAGGGGGTGCAGCTAAGAAGGCTGGCGGTGAACTTGCTGACTGACTCATGTGTCTCCTACCCTGGAGTTCTGTGCTCTTTATTTATAGAAGGCCAAGAAAGAATTCAGAAAAGAAGCCAGTCAGTGTTGGAGATGGACACATCAAAAGAGAAGCCAGCCTGCTTTGCCACTTCCTTATGCTATTAGTTTCCTTACGCTATTAGAAAACAGAGTTGGACCAAATGCAATTGGCTTCACCAAGTGGCTGCCACAGGGCTGTCCTGCGCCTCTTGCTGGGTCGCACTTCCCTACCTGATAGAGTGGCTCCCATCCTTTCCTCCACCGACCAGCTACATTATCTACAGATGCATGGCGGGAAGATCTCCAACTCACTTCTACACATCTTAAGTCCTTAGTTAGAGGTTCTGTTTTCACATTTCCAGGCAGAAAATTTGTTCTTTGGAAGTCTTTAAGCTTGACCTGACAGACATTTCACACCTTCAGCTCGGGCTCCTCCATCTCTAATTCCTCCATCAACACCCCCACTATCCTGGGCCCACACCACCTGGGCATCTAGCGCTACTGTGTGGACACACGGTGCCCAAAGCTGAGGGAGTGTCCAACAGCAGCAGAGTGCTTGCTAGGATATACAGATCCGTTGGCACCAACCGGGACTGAAGTTGGCTTTTAGCTGCATTTTTTGTCAGTTTGGCTGGGGAGGTCCGGACAGCTGGAAGTGAGCTTCTCCATCATTTTCTGCTTTCTCCTCTGTATCAATTTCCCACCTGTGAAACCCAGCACCCCACCACCAAGTGCAGCTGCAATTCCTGCCACTTTGAAGCCCGCGAGGAGGCCAATGGGACCCCCCACCACGCCTCCGATGAGCGCACCTGCCACAGGCAGGGCTGCCAGCTTGTATTTTGCAGCCTGTAAAAAAAAAAAAAAAATTCAATTTAGAAATTGAGTTGAGACTGTCTGCCTGTGGTGATGTGCATTTTCCTCTCATTACTCCTGGCAATGCCTCTTTAACTCTTGGTACATAATTAACCTTAGAGTAGAGATTGTACTGGGGTGGGGGGGGGATGGGGAGGGAGTATTCCACAGGTATCACAATTGCTCGAGATCTCAGAACTTACAGAAAGCAGCTACTCAGAGCGGACCGCTCTGAATTGATTTTACTTGCGAAACAATCAAGCCGCTCATTACAGCTAGCCGGCTTATGTAAGCAGTTTTAGCAGTCACCAAAGCTTCGATGCTGCCACAGTTGCTCCTTGCTAGGCGCCTGGGGTTAAACCCACACATCCTATCTGTGCTGTGCATCTTTCAACTCGGTCTGGCCAGACCCCTGCACCTGGAGCCCTGACGGTCTTAGAATGGAGGTTTATTCTCCTTGAGAAAAATGTTTTCCTTCTGGTAGAACGGGTCCGAGAGAATATTACAACCATTGATTTCTTGCACTACCTATGGGTCATTTCTTCCTTATTTCCTTAATTGCTGGTTCCCTCCACACCAATGAGAGCGGATCAATTGGGTTAATACTGGAGATTCCTGGGAGCCGGAGCAGCATTGATTTGTCAGCGGGGGCAGAATCTTACCTTCCCCAAGTTTTTGGTTCCCTCTTCAACATTCACAGCAGCACTGTTGACATGGTCGGCGATGCTGTCAATCTTCTCCTGCTGGGACTAGATGCAAAGGAATTATGAGTGAGCACTCCCGCTGCTCCGCAGCAGGGGACAGCACACACTATTTTAATTCCTGTAATCAGGACCTGGGGCCCTCGGCCTTGCCTTGTTCATTCATCGCATCTGATAAACCATGTTGAAAGTACAAACTCACTTTTCATGAAAAAAGGCGGGCAGGGGGGCTTCATTATTAGTAATAAAAGGGTGGCACCTTTAGAGCAAAAAGTCTCTCACACTGAAATTCATCCAAACACACATACACACACACACACACACACACACACACACACACCACACACCACACACCACATTCTCCAGATAAATCTACTTTCCAGGAGGAAAAAAAAAAAGAAGTCCAAATAAGCATTTACTTGTCCTGGTGGGTTTGATAGTAAAAAGAAAAAAAAAATCAAACAACATAAAAGCCTAACTTTCCTTTCTAACTTTCTAACCTTCTTGGAAGATTTTGTTAAAAATAAGCAAATTTACTATTTTAAGAGTAAAATGTGGGCTGGGAAGGTGGCTTAGTGGTAGAGCGCTTGCCTTGCATGCATGAGGCCCTGGGTTTGATTCCCCAGCACCACATAAGCAAAAAGGAAAAAAGCCGAAGTGGCACTGTGGCTCAAGTGGTAGAGCGCTAGCCTTGAGCTGAAGAGCTGAGGGACAGCGCCCAGGCCCAGAGTTCAGGCCCACGACCGGACCCAAAAAAAAAAAAAGAATAAAAATGTTCTTGATCCCATAAGTATAAATGGCTATGTTGTGGGAATCAGATTACAATATGGTCTTAGCTACCACAAAATCGCTGTGCTGTGGTAAGCTAAGATACAGTACTTCAGATGAGGTGTATTAACACGTGTCCTGCACACACCAGCCCCAAGTGACTGCCATCCAGCTGCTGTGACTGTTGGGGTGTCTGTGTGGGAGGAAGGCTGAGGCTGGGGTGGCAGTTCCTCTCTGTGAAGCCATACTGTGCATCCTGGCAGTGCTCACTGAGTCTGTTCTAACACTGCCGGGGACAAGGGTGCCTTCCTTGCCGCAGGCCTACACTGCTAACTTTCAAATCAACTTGATGTAGAATCTATGCACAGTAAAATGCACTCATTTTAATGGTGCACCATGAAGAGTTCTGTCCAATGCATAAACCCAAGGAATCACCATTACAATCAGTGCAGCAACTAGTTCTGGTTTTTGTTCTTTATTTCTTCTTCTTCTTTCTTCTTCTTCTTTTCTTTCTTCTTCTTCTTCTTTCTTCTTCTTTTCCTCTTCTTTCCTCCTCCCCCTCCTCTTCCTCCTCCTCTTCCTCCTCTTCTCCCTCTTCCTTCTTCCTCTTCCTCCTCTTATAATTTTCAGGGGAAAGTGCAGCAGTTCTTAAAACAGATTGTGGCTGCCCATGGTGGTTCATATCTGTGATCCCAGCTTCTCAGGAGATGGTGCCCACCTGTAATCTCAATTACTTGGGAGGTGGAGATAGGAGGATTGCAGTTGAAGGCCAGGGGAAAGCATGAAACTCTATTAAAAACAAACTAAAGCAAAAGGGGATGGAGCACGGCTCTGAATTCCATCTCCAGGATGACAGAGAAGCTGCGCAGTTGCTGTGTGCCACTCCACACTCACAGATTCAGTGGGCCTGGGGTAGAGTGGGAGAACCTGTGTTTCTAACAACTTTCTTGGTGAGGCTAGATTTGTCACTGCCTTTTCTCACACTTTAAAAATCACTGTTATACACAACAAGACTAAGGGCATGACCTTTGGCCAGATGTTCTGTGTTCAAATCCAGTATAACCACTCTGAGCCCCTAAACAAGTTCTTAAGCTCTCTAGGTGCCAGTAAATCTCATCAACCAAATAATGATATTTATGCCTGGTAGAGCTGAAAGAATAAACTGGGCCAGCTGTGGTGGCACATGCCTGTAATTCCAGCTACTCAGGAGGTGGAGACCAGGAAGACTAAGGTTTGAGGCAAAAACATTAGTGAGATCCTATCTAAACCAATGAATTGTGCATAATGTCTTTTATCTGGCATCCAGCTATATGGAAGGAAGAAAAGGACAATCCTGGACAATAACACAAGAACCTATTCCTAAAACAACTAAAACAGGAGCTATGGGTGTGGTTTAAGCACCGACCTAGCAAAAGCAAGGCCTGAGTTCAAAAGCCAGGACTCCAAATAAAGGTGGTGGCATAAAATGAGATGTCTACAAAGCATGAGGGGCAGTCAAGGACACATTCACCCTGAAAGTAAAACTTTTTCCCCCTATAATGTCTGACTAGAACTCACTCACTGCATTTTTATTTTTTCTCAGATAGTAAAACTTCTCTCTTTTTCTGACTATGGAAGCAAAGGTACTAAGGACTGGACAAAGGCAGGAAAGGGGACAAAGGCAGGAAAGCAGTGGGGAACGGTGGCAGGAAGAGAAGGAGTAATAGACGTCTGCTCATGTAGCCTCTCCGTCGGTTTCTCAGCCCTCACTGCTGACAGTCCCAGAGGCAGTCAGTGGAGGAGGCTGATCTAATCCAGTTTCTATGGATCCAGAGTATGATTGGTTCTCAAGACCCATAGGAATTACCCACAGTAATTACAGGTGGCATTAAACTGGCATTGGAGTTGTCCATCAGTATCAGCAGAATGCCAAACTAGACTCCATTCAGAGATGAATCTGGTCACCATTTGTGCACTGCATCCTTGGCCTAAACCACACACACACATATAGAAGGCTAACTGTCTATGAAGGTTCCTAGCAACAGTGGGGCTCAGGGCCTCCTCCTGTCTACCAACTCACTTCCTCTTTTGCTTCTGATTTATGTTCGTCTTATCTTCCCAAGCCACCCACATCTGACAGTCCTCTAGCCCCATGCCTGCATTTTATTCTTTAGCATGAAGAAGTGTGATCAGCATCTCTTTAGCAGCAGGCTAAGCCATGTGGGACACTGTAGTGTTGCTCCAACTGGAATAACAAAGAGATCTCTTTTTAAAGAAAAACAATTCTCAAGACTCTAAAGGTATGTCTATGAAATTTATTTTTAAGGGACATTGATTTAGGTACCCACATGGGCCTGAAAATAACAGACTCTTGATGGGAACCTCAGGGAGCTTCAGATTCTGAAGAAAATGTGATTTATTCAGTTAATACTTATCAAGAAGAATGCAACATATATAAATAATTTTTTAAACTAATAGGGGATTACTTTTTCCTTGAAAACTTTTGTTCACTTGTAGACCCAGCATCCTCTCTATAAAATATTGGTAAAACATTCCACAAGTTCATTTCCAAATCCATCAATTATTTCTCCATCATCACTCCATCAACAATAATGCTCTTCATTGGAGAAATAGTTGTGCAATCTTATTGATGTGCTTAGAAACCTGTGCATTTCATTAAGATAATGCTAGAACTTTCCCTTTATTCCTCCCTAAAGCCCTATCTTAATCATGTGCAATCATGCTAGGAAGGTGGCTCAGCGGTAGAGCGCTTGCCTTGCAAGCCTGAGGCCCTGGGTTCGATTCCTCAGCACCCATATAAGCAAAAAGAAAAAAAAAGCCGGAAGTGGCGCTGTGGCTCAAGTGGTAGAGCGCTAGCCTTGAGCTGAAGAGCTGAGGGACAGCGCCCAGGCCCAGAGTTCAGGCCCCACGACCGGACAAAAAAAAAAAAAAATCATGTGCAATCACATATACAGAAAAGCCCAGAAACAAGTTCAAACACTACAGGATTTAGAGTCAAATGTAGGATTATATGGGCCTGAGCAAGTACTAAGCAGTAGGATGCTGACCTCAGGGGCCAGCAGTAGAGAAGGGATGGCAGGAACACCAATACTAATACATGCTTAGGGTAATGGTAGTGGCCAACATTAAATTCTAGGTAAGGAATCACGAGGAAACCAAGAGGACAAAGGCAGGAAAGCAGTGGGGAACGGTGGCAGGAAGAGAAGGAGTAATAGACGTCTGCTCATGTAGCCTCTCCATCGGTTTCTCAGCCCTCACTGCTGACAGTCCCAGAGGCAGTCAGTGGAGGAGGCTGATCTAATCCAGTTTCTATGGATCCAGAGTACGATTGGTTTTCAAGACCCATAGGAAGAAGGGAAGAGCTAGACATCACAGGGGGATCAGCAGCAAGGGTGACATGCCGTCATAGCAGGGGAGGGCTGTAAAGAAAGAACACCTGTGCAAGATAAGGCTAAAGGCAGAGGGAGCAGGCTGCCTGTAGGTGTTAATTTGTTAACAGTTACTGGGTCATTCATGTTCTCTCAATAGCTTGTAAGCCCATTTCATTCTGGTAAAACGCATACAACTTTACTATTTTAACCAGTTCCAAACACATGATTTCCTGGAATTAAGTACATTTGATATGCTGTGCAACCACCAGCGCTATCCTCTGAGTTCTTTTGATACTATTCTCTGGTCCTCAAAGGGCTTAGCATGGCGCCATGTACATGCAAGTACTCCTGAAGGTCACAGTTCACTTGCCTGGATATTATTGTGTCCATGTGACAAGAGGATGTGGTCACTCTAGTTTTGTTCCAGGTCATTCTGTACCTAAATGGAGCTTCTGTGAGTCCTTAGCCATGTGGTCATGAGAACTCAGTCACCCTGGGAATAATAATCAGATTTTCCTTTGAACTTTTGCCAAATAGAACTCTGCTTCATATCCTTGCACAGATTATAATAAATGGGACATTTATATAGAGTTGTGGCAGTAGCCAGAGCCTTCCTGCCTGAATCCTCTTTAGACTGGGGTTAGAAGCTGCTTCTGTTGCATCATTAGACCTGGAACTGTTCATTCTATAAACTTTTACTTTCCTCTCATGGGCCCATCCCACTAGATGGGAAATACATTTGTCTTGAGAAGAACTTTTTACATATTTGGTTTTAAATCAACTTCATTGAGGAATAATTTATGTACATTAAGACATATTTTTAGTGTACAGACCAATGGCTTTTGGCAAATGTATATACTTGTCTACCTAAATATATGTATAGCTATGTATCTATTTTATAAACTGCACTAGATTCAGAGATCATTAGTTATAATGACTGAACTAATCTTTTTACAGCAAATATTTTGGGGATTCTTGTACCATTTCTTGCTATATGTAAATTTATCAATGGACTCTACAAATATCTAATTTAAAGATTTCTATATTTTGTTTCTTTTGATTTGGACACATCAGAAATAACTCAATTTACTGTATCCAATTTTAGTCATTACGGTTCAAGAAAATACACACAAACTAGAACATAATCCAAATAAGGGGCTAGTGCTGGAGAGTCAAAGAATCCTACCATAGAATGGAAGAAAATCAAGGGTTCTTAAGAATTGAACATCAGGTTAGGTGCGGGAGGGAGAGGAAGGTTCTAAAATCTTGAGAACACCTTACATGTAATAAAAACAAACAAAACACTTGTTCAGTCAGGGCGATAATACCAGGAGAAGTTATGATACAACAGACCTTGCATAAGGAGGAACTTCTAACACTTACAACTCCAAGTGTCATACCGGAAGTATCAAATATCCCTCCAATGAAATTGCTAGAAAGAAGCTAAACATCATGTATTTGACAAGGTGGAGCAAAGAGGAAAGAGGTCAGATTCGTTAGTTGGCCTCTTACGTCTTTTCCCATTTCAATTATGAAATAGTATGATCTGGGAACTTCTAACTTAAGAGGCAGATCTCAGGACTCCTTTTAGAGAAATCAAACTTAAAGTCATGGTTTGTTGATGAACAAAGAACTAAATCTAGACAGAGCATGAGCAGAATCAGGCTGTAACTGTGTCTCAGTATGTGTGTGTGCATGCCTGTGCACACATACACACTCATACCATTTACCTCCCCATAACCGTAGAAAGAAAAAAATAAGAACATTTAGAAAAATGATAGAAAAATATATTCTATCTTTCCCACCCAAATTCTTTATGCTCCCTAACCTATGTTAATTCTTTATGCTCCCTAACCTATGTTAACAGAATCAGTCAGGCCTGATTATGCAGAATAAAGCTGTTCCTGATCTTGACTCTTTCTCCAATTTCTGCTAAAGCTATCTCAGAAAGACTTCCCATTTGTCCTTTATCTTTTTATTCTTTTTTTTTGGGGGGGGGGGTTGGTTGTGGGGCTTGAAGTCTGGGCCTGGGTGCTATCCCTTGAGCTGTCTTCAGCTCAAGGCTAGTGCTCTACCACTTGAGCCATAGCGCCACTTCTGGTTTTCTGGTGGTTAATTGGTGATAAGAGTCTCACGGACTTTCCTGCTGGGCTGGCTTTGAACCATGATCCTCAGCTCTCAGTCTCCTGAGCAGCTAGGATTACAGGCATTAACTACTGGCACCTGGCATTATCTTTTTATTCTTTAGTGGTACTAAGATTGAACTCAAGCCCTTATTCATGCTCTCTGTAGGTGCTCTGCCACTTGAATCAGACTCCTAGAGCATTTTCTTTCATTATTTTTTACTTAAGTTCTTGCTTTTTGCCCAAGCTAACCTGGATCATAGTCTTCCCATTAACACTTCCCACATACTAGATGTCAAGTATGTACAACTATTCCTCTCTAAGTTTCTACTGGTTGAGATGGGGGTCCCCTCTAACTTTTTGTCTGACCTGACCTTGAACCACAATTCTCCTCTCTGCCTAGTAGCTAGGAGTACAGATGTAAAGCCACTGTGCCTGACTTAACCATTACCTTTATAATGGTGGTGTCATGGATCCACATTAAACCCTTAAAACCAATTCTTAATTAGTTTTCTCTCCATGACCTCTTCTCTTCTGCCATCACTCACACTGCTAACTTCCTAAAGTACAGACTTTAATAATCCACTCAAAAATCTATATGGCTCTATAGTGCTTTTAGAGGAAAGCTCCAATCCTTTAGTGTGGCCTTCAGGGCTATCGAGAGTGTGGCCCTCACCTCCTTGCTGGCCTACACTTTGGCTATCAGCAATATTTAACCATTTGTGGCCATGCACTCACTTTGCTATGAATGTCTTTGTGTAACTGTTCTGAAATGCTGCCCCTATCCCTCCCTGTGAACATTCACTCACTTTTCAAGCCTTTTGAAATGACTACCTACTTCTGTGACGTTATCCTTAGTGCTTCACTCATGAATCACATGTCGCTATCCCTTGGAACGAACTGTTTCTTCCTGGAGTCAATGGTACTTCATACTTTTTTTGGGGGGGTCCGGTCTTGGGGCCTGAACTCTGGGCCTGGGCGCTGTCCTTCAGCTCTTCAGCTCAAGGCTAGCACTCTACCACTTGAGCCACAGCGCCACTTCCGTATTTTTTCTTTTTGCTTACGTGGTGCTGAGGAATCGAACCCAGGGCCTCAGGCATGCAAGGCAAGTGCTCTACCACTGAGCCACCTTCCCAGCCCCAAAGAGTTTTTGTTGTTTTTTTTTTTGGGTCCGGTCGTGGGGCCTGAACTCTGGGCCTGGGCGCTGTCCCTCAGCTCTTCAGCTCAAGGCGAGCGCTCTACCACTTGAGCCACAGCGCCACTTCCAGCTTTTTTCTTTTTTCTTATGTGGTGCTGAGGAATCGAACCCAGGGCCTGATGCATGCAAGGCAAGCGCTCTACCACTGAACCACCTTCTTAGCCCTGGTACTTCATACTTTTACTTGCATATAGTTCTCATACTTGAAAGTTCAGTTTCAAACATCCAAACTTCCCTCCACCCACAATGGAGTCCCTAAGAGCAGACTGCGGGCTTCTTATTTCTCTATCCACCCCTGTCAGACCACCAATGCCAAGCATCTTATACTAACTTGGTTCTTATTAAATTGATAAGGAATGTGATGAGTGAAGATTTTATCTATGTCTCAATACCATTCTTAAAATGATAACTTCTATTAAAATTCTAATCAAAACACAGGACCTCATTAAAGTTTCTCATTTTGATAACTTAATTGTTCTGAAACTCAAACAGTTAAATACTTACATTCACTAGAAGAGAGAAGTCCGTGACCAGTTGGCTAAGTTCAATTAAGTCCTTAAAGAGAGAGAAGGAAATAGTTTTATGTCTTACCTTTACAATAATAATAATAAGAATCATCATAATAATTTGTAACATACCGCTTCCAGAGTTTCCCATGATTCTGCAGCATTTTGATCTGGAGGGATTTCAGGCAAAGCATATATCTGAGTCAAACTCTGGGAACTCTCTTCAGTTTCAGAATTGTGAAATGTTCCTGGATGAACACAGAACTGTGTTTACTGTTTGCTCTTCAGAAAGGAGCTTGCATGAATCGATTCCATAAACCAGCTGCCATGTAAAATGTTTGGTAATTAAATGCAAGCTAAAAGTAAATTGATTATTCTATAAAAACAGAATTACTTATCCTTGAGCAGTTGGGTTCCTAGGTTAGTTAATACATATTTTTGTCTCTACAAAGTCACCTAAAAGCTAGCTACAAATACTATCCAACCAACCTGAGTAACCAGCACTAGATGGGGAAGAACCACCAAAGGGAAACTATAGTATTTGGCCAGTGCTCCATTCCCAGTAAACCTTCATACTGCTAACAGTGGTTTTTAAGGCATTTCATGGCTAAACACCTAGCCTTATACATGGTTGGTTTAGTAACACGTTTCAGCCACAGTAGGTATCAAAAGTAGCAGTGAGGCTATAAGCAGTCATTCTGTCAGACAGCTTTGGCTAGCACGCATGCAGCCCTGGGCTCTATCCCAGCACAGCTACTGGGGAGGCTGAGATAGGTAGGAGACCTACCTCGGAGCTTAGCCAGGACAAAATGCATGAGACCCTATCTGAAAAACCCTAAAGCAAAAGGTGTAGGAGGCCTGAATCAAATGGTACAGTACATGCCTGAAAGAGTAAAGGGGGACAAGAGAGGAAGAACGGAGGGAGGGAAAGGATGAATAGGTGGCTAGGCGTCTTTCTCAGGATCATTACGAAGTGGGTGCCAGTGACTCGTACCTGTATTCCTAACTACTTAGGACACTGAGATGTGAGGATCATAGTTCAAAGTCAACCTGGGCAAGAAAGTCTGTGAGAGTCTTATCTACAATTAACCACCAAAAAGCTGGAAGTAGAGCTGTGGTTCAAGTGGTAGAGCGCTAACTCTGAGAAAAAAAAAGCTCAGGGACATCACCCAGACCCTGAGTTCCGGCCCCAGAACGTGCACGCACACACGCACACACACACACACACACACACACACACACACACACACACACACACACACACACACAATAACTATGGACCTATTTATTAAAAGGAGCTGTTTGAGACTATGGAGAAGCTAGTAGTTGTCGTAATCAGATTTTAGATTCAGAAAGGAAACCACAGCTGTAGTTTGAAGAACACATTGATGATGGAGTTAAAAGGTGAGAAAGTCAGAGAGTGGAAGCCCAGAAAGGAGACTTTCTAATGTGTCCAGTACAAGATGATGAACTTCAGTGCTAGAACATTGGCAGCAGAAACAGGAATATACCTGATGTTTTACTTTTATCTCCTCAAAACACCTACTATACCACCTAAACATTTTCTGAAAACCCACTATGTATGATGTTTGCAACCAAAAAAAAGAGTGAATAATATATAGGACCTACTCTTGAAGAACTTATATTCTAGAAAAATTAATCATGAAACAACCGGAGAGTCTGTTATTGATATCTATCTATCTATCCCTCCATCTATGCAATATTTTGGAGGCCGCCCCTGATCTTGGCTGATATAGTATGTAGCTTATGGGAAGGTTTCTTGGACAGGTAGACTTTACTAGACAGTGAAGAGCAGAATCTACATTCTCGATGGGCAACTAGAATGAACAGGTCATTAGGACAGAAAAGATATAGCTAATGTAAAACCAACAGTTGATGTTACAAAGTAAGAATCACAGAGCTACAAATGTAAGATGTATAGATAATTAGGAAGGTCTTTGACCAGTTGAAGTCATTGGACATTGTCTGCCAGACAATGAACACTTGCTAAAAATAGGTTATGAGCAAGTTGCAAAACGACACATGACCTGGTCTATTCCTAAGAGTTGGTTATTATAAAACTATTAAGTGCATATTCTCTTTCAATTCCTTTTTCAATAAAGCTTAAAATCAAATGATATTTTATAAACCTACACAATCACTTTACCTTCAAAGGTGATAAATACTCTACTCTCAAGGAAAATCTTACTTGAATGGTTTAAGAAAGGCATGGTCAGGTGACCAAAAAGTACTCTAGATTTATTACAATTGATAGTCTTCTTTTAAAATATTTACTACTTACTTTAAGCATCACCAATAAACACTCATTTTCATTTTCAATGAACACAAATGAATTATGCTATGATCTTTCTTCCAGCTATTATTCCTATAAATAATGAAGATTGAGTAATAACTGCATTATCAGATCAAATGCAAACAGAACTTTATATTCTTCCCACTCTAACAATTTTTAAAGTCATAATTTATCTATTAAAGAGTATTCAGGGGCTGGGAATATAACTTAGTGGTAGAGGGCTTGCCTAGCATTCATGGAGCCCTAGGTTCAATTCCTCAGTATCACATAAACAGAAAAAGCCAGAAGTGGCCCTGTGGTTCAAGTGGTAGAGTGCCTGCCTTGAGCAAAAGAAGCTTGGGGACAGTGCCCAGGCCCTGTGTTCAAGTGCCAGGACTGACAAAAAAAAAAAAAGAGAGAGTATTCAGATGACATACATCCCAGTTTACAACAAAATAAGGAGAGATTGTCATATATAAATTCTTTATCTAAAAAGTAAGATGGGAAATGTTTGACATTTTAAATAAGCATGAAAGATTTCCCTTGATAAGGAATAAGTGTTGAAGTCATTTCCGTTGTACTGGAAACCAAAATGCGTATGTATCTTAGTTCAAATAGAGACTGAAAACAAAGAACTCTATTCTCTTCCATGGAGACCTTGCCTCAATGCACAACTTCTAAACATCACAAATCAACTCTAGGCATTCCTATCAGTTAAGAAAGCAGCCTTTTAGTTTCTACAACTTCCTTATTCATTGACTTCAGTTTATACCACAGTGATCATCCTTTTATTTCTATGGATGTACTGAAGCAAAACACTGGGGCAGATTAGAATGACAGGAATGAATGCTAAAGAACCTCAGACTGTGCAGAGAAGAAAAATTGCAAGTGTTTCATATTACCTAACACTCTCAGACAGTTAAACCTATAGGCACATATACGGGGTGTGTGTGTCTCTTGTGTGACTCACCACTATTCTTCAAACCTTAAAATTCATTTTAAAACATCATTGGCTATAAAGTCAATAGTTGGAACTAGAGACATTGCTCAAGAGGTAAAGTGCCCGCCGTAAGTGAAAAGGCCAAAAGAGAGCGAGGGACCCTCATCAGGCCCCAGTACCAATGCACATGAATAAGTGACGAACATCAACAGTTGACTCACTTTAACTGAAGAAATAAACTAAATAACATGAATTGAAGACTTTGTTCTATCTCTTTTCTTTTCTTCTCTTTCTACCAATTCCATCAACAAATTACCAAGAATTCTGTACTATATCCAGTAATACAGCTAAATTTTCCACTAAACTTCACTAGATTAAGAAATATTTCACTACAAATCTGCAATAATTCAAACCCATACTTTATTTATTTATTTACACTTTTATTTATTTATATTTTTTTTGCTAGTTGTGGAGCCTGAACTCTGGGCCTGGGCACTGTCCCTCAGCTCTTTAGCTCAAGAACTAGTGCTCTACCACTTGCGCCATAGCACCACTTCTGGCTTTTTCTGTTTATGTGGTGTTAAGGAATCAAACCCAGGGCCTCATGCATGCAAGGCAAGCACTCTACCACTGAACCACCTTCCCAGCCCTTATGACTTTCAGTGAAATTAATTGATCATCTATATAAACTTATCTGTCAAAATACAATGACTTCTAAGTCATAGTTTAACTGTAAGGAAGAACTTTTAAGAAATTAAAACCAACAGAAAGTATACTTTCTGAATAATACAATACAAAACTACCTACATGTTTCATAAAGTTGTTTAGTATATGTCTATAACTGAGATAAAAACCTAATATTTCATCAAATTCAATATGCAGTCTAAAGTTCCTGGCAGTTTTAAAATTGGATTCTTTTTGAATATTTGCTTAAAATGTAGTAAGATTTTACCCCTAGTGTGCTGCTGAGGTGTGTGTCCTGGATTGGGAATAAAGACAAGATGGAAAGAGGCACTGATTCCCTCGGTATGACTTGAATCACCTTTCTAAATACAAATCGTATTTGTGGACTCATCATTTCTCTTGGTGGGAAGCAATATACTAAAAATGAAGCTAGGCACAGAACTGAGACAAGAGGGAGTTCCACAGATCAAGCAAGATTGGCAGAGCAGATTTGCTTTGGAACTCTCAGAACCTAGACAAAAGAAACAACAAAATCATCACAGCTTCCCCCTAAACTTAATATTCTCTCATTCATCAGAGAACATAAAATTTCTTATTTTCCTTGTTACTTCCATCTGTAAATGAAAAACTATCTTTGTATTTGATCTCCCACACAGAAAAGTAGTGGCATTGCTCCTGGATCTCTGCTGATGTTTCCAATCAATTTATTTAGAAGCTGATTTGTAAAGGAAAAAGCATCTTAAGATACTTAACTTCTATGCACATAACACATAGTTTTCTCTATAGACTGTCATACCATGAGACTCTAAAGCAAAAATAAGAAAAAAGAGAAAGCACAGGATGAAAATGTGAGAACAGAGTCTAGCTAGAAGAGGACTGTGTGGAGGAAATTCCTACTTTACTTTTAAAGCGTTGTGTAACTCAGTTACTTGCATTCTCTTGATTATTATTCTCCTTTGCCATCCTTCAAAGTATTTGTTAATAATGTATCTGACACTAGACTCTAGTGGAAACTCACAATTGGTAAAACACTCAGCTCTTGGTGAAATAGTAGTTCTAAATTCTTTATGTTGCTAATGGATTCATAGTCAAAGCACACCTTATCAAAAGACTATTCAGAATTTGAAATTCTATATTCTGTTTTAGGGATAATCTAGGTAACCTTGTTTTAGAGAAAGAACGACTGTCTCAATCAAATCAGTACTAGTTTCAGAGATTTGATTTTGTGGGTTTTATTCTCTAGTATAAAAAATTACGTATTTAATCGACTTGGTCTAACCATTAATTGAGAAGTTTGAGCACTGACAGAGTTCAAAATGAATTTCACCTAGTATTTATTCTCCCTCATACTCTGTCTCTGTCCTAATCTTTTTCATTTCCCCTATAAACAAGCTTCTTCAAACTCTAGTTTTTACACCCATCTGCTTCTTAGGGAGATAACTGCCAGTGAATTGGATAAACTGCCTTCTTCTAATCATTGCCAATTCCTCTGATGACATATAAACTCGTTTGCTGGGCACAAACAGTTCTATTGTCAGAAACACAAATAATGTTATCATAATACCCAAATTAAAACTCTTGCGTTATTATTACAACAAAATGCTTCATAGGAACTTACTGCTGATGGGCAGTTTGAAGCTAAACAGCAAAAGATGACCACTGCTCTTTCCAGAAAATGAAGTCAATCTCCCTGTACCCTGCCATCACAACTGCCTGAAACATGGAACTTTAAGTCCAGCTTCCCCACATATTCATAAGGCATCTCTTTGAATTAACAGAGAAGAACAGTCTTCCTCCTAACACAGAGGGCACAACTACACACAAATGAACAGTGATAGCAGAAACTACACACTACCTAAAACCAGGATTCCCAAATAGTCTGCAACTGAGAGTTGAGCACTAACTTTCCCTCTCTAAAACATTTTGGCAGTGGTTATCCATAGAATGATTGCAGCATGTTAGAGAGTGTAAAACTGTATCTGTTTATATTGATAAAATATTTATGAATGGTTCACTACATGCAAAGTTCTGTGCTACATATAAAGGATACAATGGAAGTAAAGCTACCTAAAAACTCTGAAGGCTGACTTGGGAGTTTCTTCTTTCAATATACTTCATTTCTTTGTAACCAATCATTAGCACTGAGCATATAAGATTAAAAATAACCTAGATTTGGAGATAGGGTGTGGTATAGGAGGGTCCTGGGAAATAAAAAAGAAAAACTGGGCAGGTATAATAACACTAACATTCTATTCTAATTCGTAATTTATTTCTAATAACCTTTCTACAGGATTAAAGGTATCTTATATATGATAAAACAAACTAGAGTAAATTAAGCGATTAACAATAGAATAAAAAAGGAAATAATGGAAACAGCTATAAGATAAAGCCATAGAACTTTGAAAATTTATTCTTGAGTGGTTAAAAATTGACTTTAAGCTTTTTAGTAAGCACCTTGATTAGGATAATCTTACCGATTCTTCCACTCACTACGTGTAAGATAAAAAAAATAACCAGCTATATTGACATTTTGACATTCTACTATGTATTAAGATATGTATTAAGATGAAAAACTACTATAATATGATCAAATATGAATTATATTCTTTGAAAACAAGATAATGACAAGTGTCACAGGGCTGTTTCTCACGAAGGTTGACCTCACTGAAGATTTTTTTACGCTATCAGTCAAATTCAGAACTGAGATAGATCTATCTCCCCCTGCTGAAGAAAAAAGGCATGCTTAAATAGGTGACCCCTTGTACCAGAGGGTAAGATGGTGTTTGTTAAACCATAAATCATCTATAGAGAATCTTTAAAATTTTCTTTTTAATACATTGGGAAATGGGCACTTGAATTCATGAAGTTCAACTCCAATTCAGAAAGTACACCCTGCAAAATGTCCAGGGTACTCATTTCCTGCCCTCTTGGGGGGGTTAAGGATCTGGCATATTGGACTAGGAGTGATCCCTAGATCTACAGATAATGTGCAATCTCTACCTGAAGATGTGAACTTTAATTAACTGCACTCTGTGATCATCAGTAAGAATTAGTATAATACACTACCACCAACAGTCATGGATCTGGTTAACGAAGGCTGTAATAGAGTTGCTTCATCATTAAACTGTTTCTTAAGTTCTTCGACAGATTCCAAGTGGAGCTGGAGAAACTCTGCTGTTGCTGCTGATGCTTCTTCTTTAACAGGATCTATCATTCTTTTCAGGAGCACTAGGTCATCCTTTCGGACTTTCAAACAAAGCTTCTCCATTTCTCGGATATTGGAGCGAAGTTGCTGTAATAGATAACAACAACAGTACTATCTCTTAGTATAAAACATTTATTTTCAGAAGTAATTTTTAACAATAGTTATGAATGTCAATGCCTATATATTATTTACAACAAAAGATGTGGTACCATTCTTTCCTATATTCCATGTCTCTGACTGGCCAAATCTAGCTCCATATCCTCAAAATTTGGATTTGTGTAGCAAATTTTCCTACATTAAATGTAATGACTACAAAAATGAGATATATTTTCACAATAAATCTGACACTGAATAAATACAGGAAAAATGATTTTCCTACTTAACCAATTTCATACCTCCTCTTTGCCAATCTCCTTCCCAATAGCTACACCATATTCCATATGATTGTTCATATTTATTGGTTGTCCTCCAGTGATCAAGAGGCATTCATATCATTTTCAGTTTTTAGTTATTACAAACTATGAAACAAGTAGCCTTGTAAACACATTCTAATATACTATGAAAGTATATTATTAGCTCTGTAGCATATAATAATACAATGCTTCTAGTAAGAATAATTCCCAGAAGTAGGACTACTCAAAGGACAATCTTCCTCCTCTTTCTCTTCCTTTCTTCCTTCTTCCTTCTTTCTCCTCCTTCTTCTTCCTTCTGTTCATTTTCTTCTCTCCCTCCCTCCCTCCATCCCTTCCTCCCTCCCTCCCTCCCTCCCTCCCTTCCTTCTTCCTTCCTTCCTTCCTCCCTCCCTCGCTCCCTCCCTCCTTCCTTCCTTCCTTCCTTCTCTTCAAGTTTGGAGATACAGACTTATTATGTAGCTAAAGCTAGCCTCAAACTCCTGTCTCTGTCCTCCAAGTGCTGGGATTACAAGTATATGCCCTCATAATAGATATATATTGTATAATATATATTATACATATATACATATACACATACACATAATAATTGTCAGTTCCCTCCCCCCAAAAAAGCTGTGACAATATACATTATCTGCAAACTATGAGTTCCCATTTCCTTCATTGTTGTTACTCGGTACCTTCCTATAAATGAAGTTGCTAGATTTTTATCAAATGATTCTTCTCCCCTTTAATAAAAACACCTATAGATGTAATCACAATTTTTCCTCTAATGTGTTGATATAATGAATTGTGCAGAGATTTTTATGGAATAGTCATTTTCATATTCCTGAAATAAACCCTACACAAGAATATATATATATGTGTGTGTATATATATATACACACACATATATATACACACACACACACACACACACACACACATATATATATATATATATAACTAATACACTGCTAGTTTCCATTTGCTAGTACTTCATTTGGAATTTTAACATACATGTGTGACTGTGCCTGCATGGGTGCACACAGTATGTATGTCAATTCTGTCTTTAAACAGGGGTAACACACTTTATTAGATTTAAGGCTGCATTGGCTTAATAAAATAAACAGATGAATTTTCTATCTTTTTCAGTGATCTGTATATTTGGAAACCAAGATTCTCAGCTATTCTTTGAAAACTAAATAGAATTAATTTTTCAAATGTGATCTAAATATGTAGCTTTAAAAGACAAACATTTCTATTTATACAAAATTTAGATTAATTCCCCCTAATATGCTTTCACAAGTAGCACAAGTCTCATATATATATATATATATATATATATATGCATATATGTTTCCTATACTGGAGAAAGAAAGTACTATTTTAAAAAAACTTAAAAAGTTAACTCTGAAAGAAGTATTATAACATTATATTCGATATTATTACATATAGAGAAAAAAATCAACCAAAACTCATTCAGGATTTACTTAGTTATCTAGTGGCAAAGCTGAGATTACAAAATCAGATTTTCTTAGAAGCCTAGCAAGCATCCTACCAATATCCATGCCCATCTATACAGTGCCTTAATGTAATCAAAAGTCCAAGTTCACTCTAGTAAAATGAAGGTCAGTTCAGGAAAGAACAACTTAATTTCAAAGAACAGCAATTTGTGAAATATTCTGCATAAAGAATTCTGCCTCTCATCTACCATGACCCTCCTTTTACTTCCTTTAACTTTATGTCCATGCTTTTACCATTCCAATATGAGCTTAAAAAACCAAACAACAACAACAACAGCAAAAACACCTCAGAATAAATGTAGATTCCACCAGGTGCCAGTGGCTCACACCTGTAATCCTAAGTACTTAGAAGGCTGAGCTCTGAGGATCATAGTTCAAAGCCAGCCCAGGCTGAAAAGTCACCATGAGACTCTTATCTCCAATTAACCACCAGAAAACTGAAAGTGGCATTATAGCTCAAAGTGGTAGAGAGCTAGCAAAAAGAGCTCAGGGACAGCCCCCAGGCCATGAGTTCAAGCCAATGATCTACCAAAAAAAAAATGTAGATTCCAAGTATATCATTACGGAGGTATGATTATGTAAAATGTATGCAAGTTTAAAATCTGATGGCTCTACAATAAAGAATAGAGGTTAGATGAACAAAATGGCAATATGAGGGCTCTCAAGTCCCAGAACAGGACTGTTTTTAAGAGATCACCATTTTCTAGCTGTCAGACTTCTTTCTGGACTACAATTATGATGGATGGTCGTATAGCTGTTACATAGTCTATATTGATAATTCAGGCAATTCTACTTGGAGAAGCATTAGAGAAAAACACAGAGAGATCAAACGACATATTCTTTGTCTTTTAAAGAATGTGTACATATGTCTATGTCCTCACTCAAATAATCATATCCAGCCAGGCGCTGGTGGCTCATGCCTGTAATCCTAGCTACTCAGGAGGCTGAGATCTGAGGATCGCAGTTCAAAGCCAGCCCGGACAGGAGAGACCGTGAGACTCCTATCTCCAATAAACCACCAGAAAACCGGAAGTGGTGCTGTAGCTCAAGTGGTAGAGCACTCGCCTTGAGCTGAAGAGCTGAGGGACAGCGCCCAGGCCCCACGACCGACAAAAAAAAAAAAAAAAATCATATCCAGACAAGAACTGTCTTACTATGGACTATGAGAAAAGTTCTAGGGAAAGAAAGGTCATACCCATTCAAGTATAAAATTAGATTATAATAACAAAAAATTAACCAATAGCTAATTTTTATTACCAGTTACTGTAAGTTATATATTTAGCAAAGTGCTTTACTACTTGTCTTTTATTTTACTTTCACAATATATCTTTGAAATATTGAGTATGACTATTATTACTATTACTACTATTTTCATTTTACAGAAGAGAAAAATCAAAGAAAGTTAAAAAAAGGTGCCACCATTATTCTAGGAATAAATGATATAACCAAGAATCAAATCCAGGCCACAGATCTTATATTAGTAATAATTATAATAACATTATCCAACAACAACAACAAAAGCAAATCACAAATGCAAGCCATACTGAAAAAATTACATAATTTTATATAATTACTTACTTTTAAAGTATTTCCTTCAAAAACAGAAAAAATAAAATTATTTTTAATGATATATTTTCTTTAGTGTATCTAAAATACTAGCTCAATATGCAATAGATATAAAAACCCCTAATTAAACATTTTATTTGTAGTAGGTTTTAGACACTCCCTGTGTGTATATATAGATATGTGTGTGTGTATATATATATATATATATATATATATATATACACACACATGCATGTTTCAACTCAAATTAGCTACATTTTAGTGCTTAAATGTAATAGCAACCAGGAGATACCACAGTAGCACTCTATAGCACAGCTATAGAGATCCTACAGAAAGAATAGCAAAGCTACAGAGTCTCTCTAAAATCACACAGAATAACCAGGATGACAAAACTGTTCATGAGGAAAATAAAATGTTTCTGCTTCTGGAAATAATATACTAAGTGACTCAAACTAATTCTAATTCTCTCACAAATGACTACTTAAAATGCTAAATAAAAAGATAAATCATGAAACCAATTAAAAGGGGAAAAAATTTAAAAGCATCAAGAAGCAAACAAGGCAATAGGTAATTTTTAAGACAAGAATTGGGCAAAAATGGAACCTAGAAAAATGAGTCCTTACCTTGGGGCCACATTTTCATACCAGAATGTAAACTTACAAAACTTGGAGTAAATATTCAATATTAAGATATCCTAAGAGCTGAGTGCCCGTGGCTCACGCCTATATAATCCTAGCTACTCAGGTGGCTAAGATCTGAGAATAAAGGTTCAAAGCCAGCTGAGGCAGGAAACTCCGTGAGACTCTTATCTCCAATTAACCATGAGGAAACCAGAAGTGGCCCTGTGGCTCAAGTGGTAGAACACTAGCCTTGAACTGAAGAGCTGAGGGACAATACCCAGGCAGAGTTCAGGCCCTACTACCAACAACAACAACAAAAGATATCCTAAGAATAAGACACTTGTTGCTTTGGGTTGGAATCTTATCATATCATAAACCAGCCTTTCTATGAACTGAAGACTGATTTCCAATTTCTTATAATATGCTCAAAAACCTTACACTCCAAACCGTATAAAGATAACCTTAGAAAGTTAAGGTCTTCAACATACGAAAGAAGCTAAGTAATATCCTGTCAAGAGACAATCTCACCCTTAATTTCAATCTCTACAAATAAAATTTCAAATACAATGTCTACCAATCAGAGAGAACCAACCACATAAGGCGATATATAACATACACAAATTAAACAGCAGAAAAAAATGGACAACAGAAGCATAAAAATGGGTGCCTGATACAGTGAAATAAAAATGTGGTCTATAAAGCCAAACTTTTTGTGTTTAAAGATAGAACAATCAAACCTTAAAGTTTCACAATTGGGAATGATGAAAAGCATCATAAAGAGCCAGGCACTGCTGGGCAGGAAAGTCTGTGAGACTCTTATCTCCAATTAATCACCAGAAAATGGGAAGTGGAGCTAAGGCTCAAAGTGGTAGGGTGCAAGCCTCGAAGACACCAGCTCAGGGACAGCACCCAGGGGAGTCCAGGCCCCTTGACTCAGGGGATAGGGAAAGAGCCAGGCACCAGTGATCATGTTTTAATCCTAG